TTGTACCAGGACAACAGGACCAAACTCCTCAAGGCAAGAGAGCTAAGAACACATTCTCTGATGAAGCCTACACCCTCCCAACACTTTCCTTGACCCCTTCTGATCAGACCGATCAAAGTTTGGATCACTCTGATGATTCCATCCTTGAATCCCCACTCAAGAATCGACACTCTCACCATCGAAAGGATCCTGTCACTCCTAAACGCCCATCTGCACACAGTGTCACTCGACAAGTTGGCTCACCTCTCAAGCAGACACACACCAAGGCCAAAGGAAATGCTCAGAAGACCCAAGATCCATCGCAATCGTCTATTCGAACCCATCTCCAGGGGTTTGGTCCACACACTTCACGACAAGTGAATGAGACTGATATGGACCACCGGGTCAGTTCTTTGGTTCAAGATGGCCCCCCAAAGCAGCACAAGGGGGCTTCTATTTGGTGGAAATATGTCTATCCTCTGGAGTCCCCTGATCAGCCCTTGTCTTACTCGTTGGACAATATACCACTTCTGACGAAGAAACCAAACGTTCGAAATGGTGTCTTATGGGTTGGTTGCCGGCTTTGCAATGCCCCTACTTATCCAAACACCCGCTCTGAGTGCGTATGAAAGACTGAATGAAAAGTTTATTAAGCTAATAGTTCTCAAAAACAGATCGTGGACCGTATGGCAGAATGGTGGAGGAACATTATCCAACATTCCACGTCATATTGCCTCAAACCACAAGGAATTAGCACATCAACTTGGGCTATCTTCCAAGGGCTCACGGCTAGGTGGAGATACAATGCCTCCCGCATTCAATCTGGAAACTGCGGTTGAGAAGATGATCACTTGGATCATCAGCGATGACCAAGCCATGCAGGTTGTTGAGTCACAAGAATTTCGCGAGATGATTAAGGCCTTCAATCCAACCCTCATCGATGGTGATATCCCAGGCCGAGGTACAATCCGTCACCGTATCTTGACACGTTATAAGCAAGATCGCCAAGAATTAAAGCAGCAGCTCAAAGACGCCCTAGGTCGAATCTCATTGACCGCCGATTTATGGTCTAGCTCCACCATGAAGTCATTCATGGCTGTGACAGTCCACTGGACCGCTCGCATGCCTGATGGTGAGCTGACCCTCAAGACGGCACTTGGGGGATTCCGTTACATTAGGGACAAGCACGATGGGCATAACATCGCCACTCATCTTGTTAAAATCCTTGAGGAATTGGATATCCTCAACAGGGTTGGTGCGATAACACTTGACAATGCTTCAAGCAACGATAGTGCCATGTCCTACCTCAAAGACTTCTTTCAAGCTCGTGGGGTCGAATTCAACTGCAAACAACAACGCGTTTGGTGCTTCTCACATGTCATCAACATCGCAGTACAGGAGTTGCTCGCGGTCCTCCCAGAACCTGACAAGTTTCAACTCCGTCATATTACCGACAATTCACTCAAATCCATTTATCGTCAAGGCAAGCGGGAGAAGGCTTATGCTGACATACTCAAGACAAACCTTGTTGAGCGCATCGCTGGGCTGATCAAGCAACTTCGATCATCAGGCCAACGACGTGAGGGTGTAGGCTTCATCAGAGAATGTGTTCTTAGCTCTCTTGCCTTGAGGAGTTTGGTCCTGTTGTCCTGGTACAA